CTGTGTCCACAACTATTTTTGGATGATAAACATTTGTATCAGGTCAACTAAACATGGGCATAGTAACAATATTTTTATACCACACTTATCCATTTTAAATARACTAACCTCACTCCTTTGTAACAACTAAGGCAAAAATATAATTAATTCAGAAAATATTTTCAGGACCCGACCTTGATGTTACGGGACCCCACTTTGGGTCCCGACCCCAACTTTGGGAAACACTGCATCACCCAGGAACAAGACCACCTGAACTCCCACACCTGAGGCAAACTGAAGGAGTTTTAGCTCGTTTGTTTAAACATGTAAAGTACAAATTATATAATTTCCCTGTATTTTGTTGTGAATCACTCTCAGCTACTACAACATGAAATTATAGCTCAATGTCTGTCAAACTGATTAGCCACTCGTGCTTTGTTGGGTCAGTCACCATGACTGAGTTCATGATGGGCAGCCATCATGAACTGGGTGTGTCTAATGGTTGTTTCCTCAAAGTTCTATTAAAATCCATTATGTGGTTGGTGAAATATTTGGCTAACAGACAGAGTTCTACTATTGAACAGTAAAGTTTTAAACAAAGATCTTGTGCAATCTGTTCCACGCTTTTAGAGTATGTGTCATGCATGAGCCTCAGCTACTACCACAACCACATTACTTTCKTGACCTTAAACTGGTTGAGTTACGGACATTTTTGCATCCTGTCTGTTTGATTACCTGTGTTGGCCATGATGCATTTAGTTTGACTCTGAAATGTAATCAGTTGTGAACAAACATCCAATGAATCCTCTGAGAGTTTCAGTAAAATCTGTTGAATGGTTCATGAGATATTTTGCTAACAGAAAAATAAACACACTAAAATATCCAGTTAGCTCTGATTATTTTCTGCTTAAAACTAAATTCCTGCTGCTTGTTTAATGAGAATAAAATGAGAGTAAAGTCCATTTTATTTACAAAACTCCTGCTTTTATTTTGATACAATTCATAGATTTTTATTTTATTTTATTTTTCATCTTTTTTGCCTCCAGGACTCTTTCACCAACCTGTCTGCGTTTTTAGAGAAACAGTTCAGCAGCTGGGACAGATGCTGTCGAAAAGTAAATCAAAACCGGAAGTTATAAAAGTGGGCCTTCAAAGTAAAAGTGACTTTTTTCCCTCCAATTCCATTAACACCGCTCTCTTCGCTGGAAAATGGAGTGACTACAGACTGTGTGAAAAATTAGGCAAACCAGCATTAAAAACGAAAGAGTTTTGCTTCAAAACAATCCATTTTTTTCATTCTTTTTGGTGATTTATCACCTGGAAACAACGGTTTTGTTAATGAGGCTGTCAAGTTTGAAAACTGGTTCTAGAATGATGTCATCAAGAATTCCATCTGGCTATTCAAACAGGGCAACCTGTGAGCTTCACCATGATGCCAAARATTATATGAAGGGATTTTCCGACAGAAAAAAATGGTCAGTATTAAAGGAGATTCAAAAGATTATTTCTAAAGACATACCTGCCAAAAACATTAATTTAAAGGTAAGTTGTAGATCAATTGATGGTGACTTTATGAACTGATTTTACATAAATCTCATTTATGGTAAAAAAAAAATCAATGTTTTGTTGCAGCATGAGCTCATTCTGGCTCTTTTTGGGAGCACAAGCCATTTATAATTGTGCATGCATCACACTAAAAAACTATATAATAATAATAATAATAAGAGCTCATTCTGGCTCTTTTTGGGAGCACAAGCCATTTATAATTGTGCATGCATCACACTAAAAAACTATATAAT